CTTAACAAAGAATGACAGTTCAAGACAACCTTGACTCACACAAGGGTTCTTTCACACAGGGAAGACCTAATAAAGCATCTTAAAAAAAATAAAAATACACTCACCTCTCTTGGGTTTTGGGAAGCTCTCATGTAGCCTGAAGACCACCCTTTCCACAAAATGCTGGATGTCAAACTGCTCTGGGCCACGGACAAACACCATCCAGTCATGAGTAAACCCCTCCGTGGTGGGCTTCTTCCTCAGTTGGGCTCTGTGCCCCAGCTCCAGTTTGACTTGAACTGTGCACTGTTTCAGGGTAGAGAAAAAACCATCAGCAAAATGAAAGCTTCCATGTTACACACAATAGCTGAACCCCCCCCCCAGACACAAGACACTAGATCACCACAGGGGAGGAATTCAACAGCCTCCACAGAGATTCCTCTAATTCTGAAAATTACAGTGTTGTCAATTGAAAAGGTACCACAAAAATAGCTCCTAGCACCATTTCCTGCCAGTTTTCTTCCCAATATTAACACTGCAGAGAAAACAGCTTTAGAAGAGGGATGGGTTTATCTGCCTCACTTATCTACTAAATTGTGAGCAAAAGCCCTAACTGAGGAATCTTTATTTCTAGAAAGCGTCGGAGAAAGAACTTGGTGTTCACAGCTTAAGAGAATTCAAAGCACTCACAGAAAACTGATCTTGAAACAGGAAAAATTGGATCATGAATGGGTGGTTCTGATGTTCTCTGGAATATGCAATCTATTAGGATATAGCTATGATGTTCCTTGTGTTCTTTTAAAGGCATTTTATTAATGCACTTTTAAAAACCAAGTCTAACATAGGCCATGTCTGCACAACATCCAACACTAAAATGACCTAAATTCTGATTTGCACTCCTGAATCTTACTCCAATCATAGATTAACAAGAAGGTGTATTCAGTGTCTCACCCAAAGCACAAAATCCCATTGAATAAATTAATTGTGAAGATCCAGATTTTACTGCAGCCTTCACAGTCAGAAGAAAGCAAATGAACTGAAGAGCTGTGACAAAGGCAAACCTGCTTCAGACACAAGTTTTAGGGCTTTAGATCTGTAGAAGCAGGGAATTAACACCTCAGGGATCTGACAACTTCCTAATTTTGTGCACATTCTTTAGACAAAGTAGACCAGCAGCACAGTGATCACCAACAGCCCAACAAAACCCAACTTCAGCAACTGGAAATTTGTTTTAGAAAGGGCAGTTTTTAGTCCTCACCCCCTTTTTTACCTAAGACTTGAAAAATAAGTGCCTTGTTCTTTCTGGCAGTTCTCAATTACCATCAGGAGAGGCAACATTGTTTGTCATTACCTGGATTACAGGTGGGCAGAGCCAAGCTGAAGGAGGAAGGGAAGAGAGAGCTTCCCAAAATCTAGACAAATGTTTAGGGAAAGTATTATCCTCATTTTTCCACTGAGGAACTGCAGCAAGGACTTATGACCACGATGAAGGCTCCAAAAAATACATATTTGGCATATCAAACCTAGTATGCTATGGAAATGTGATTTTCAGAGCATGGTTAATACTTTGAGAAAGCACAAGTCACTCAAGCTCAGGACTTTTCTTTGTAAGAAGATCACACAAGAGGTCTGCACAGCACCAGCCATCAAAGCTCGACCTCCCAAATTGCAGCCCAGTTCCAATTTCAACTCTAAGCCCCAACACACTCTTCCAGGCAATTATCTTCATAGCAAAATACCTTCAGCTGCTATTCAGCCCATCAATCCTAAGACTGGGGGACAAACTCATCTAATTAATTGCTTCACCTGCTTCACTACAACATTTCTTGAGGTTACCTTTCTCTGCACCTTCTCTTGGCAGGCTGTATTTTTTCCCTATCCTGTGCTCTAGGGCTTCTATACCCTGGCTCCATCTGACTTCTACTCTGAAAATGAAGGTCCATGGCCAGCTGTTCTTTCATGTTGTAAAGGAATAAGAAAAAAAGGCAAGGTGTGTTTTACTCCAAGCCCAGCAATCTCCCCCACAGTGAAAAAGCATTATGTGGAGGCTGCCTGCCTAAATCCTAAGCTCCCAAGGAGGGTGTTTGCAGGCCAGCTTTATCTGGGATACTTCCCACAGTGTTCACATCAACTGAGCCAGTCTGTTCTGCAGCTTCCCGTTATCGATTCCATAATTACCCTTTAAATTGTGCTACTGTTGCCAGTTACTCCCTATCTCCACAGAAGTGCAAATGACTGTCAATCTCCAGGATTTGCCTTTCTACTTGAAACGGCTGAGAAATTTTAGCTGAGAAACAGATGGGACTAACGTGGAAGAGAACAAAATTAAACAGAAGAGAGAACTGTTTAACTGAGAGTGAAAGTTGTACTTGCTACACTCCTCACATCTCGGTCCAATTAGCAATCGCTACGAATTAAGGCAGAAGTTGAGACACATTTGAAAAGAAGATCTCCCAACGTATCAAACACCCGAAGTTGCTCCTCTGAAAATGGAGGGTTTGTTGCTTCTTTCCCCCCCACACCCCTCTAAGCGTGTCTCTCAACAAAGGGAAATCGGGATCCTATTCAAACAATTTGTAACAATACAAAGGAGTCCGCTTTTCAACTTCTCAATAAACATTCTGAAGGCTGCTCGGGCTTTTTGTTTGATGTGCTAATTGCCTAAAAAGCCAGAACCAGTTTCCAGTCGCTCATCCTTTGGCTGATTATTCACAGGATAGCGGGGCTCACCTCCTGAACCTTCAGCCTCGGAGGGAACCTGTTCCCAGCTCGCACACAAAAGGCCTGAGAGCTCTGGATCACCTCAGGTAAACTTCCAGCATCCATCGCCAACCTCTGCAGCTCCGCAGCCACCCGGGAGCTACCGGGCAGCTTCCCACCGCCTTCCCGGAGCGGGAAGAGCTCTCTCGGTGGTATTAACCCTTTGCACGGCGGCTGGAAAAGGGGAGGGGTGGGGGGGAGCAGGAACGCCGGCACCTCCCCTCCCTGTAATAAAGCCCGGGCAGGAATTTGCGGGAAATGCTGCTGCCACCCCCCGCGGCGGGCGAGGCTGCAGCGCGGCCGCCCATGAAGGGGGG